GACCATGTGACTGCCACTGTCTGCATGAGTTATTTATGATATTGGTTTATTCATTAGATCATCATGTACCAGACTAAATGACCAATGCTAATATCAAAATTAAAGCAGCCATAGATCACAAGTATTGTGACAGAGTTTGGACTTGTCCTCAGGTCAGATTTTCACTAAATCATACGACACATGACTTTTTTACCATATTAAGTCCGACTCTGAAGGAAATGGTCATTTACACTTAATATAAAAAGTCATTTGTCATCATTAATGGTCAAAATAGCCAGCACTTATTGACCACAATGTCAATATGTTAAATGACCAAAAACTGACCAGAAACCACCAATTTGAATTAACTCAGTGGTCACATGAAAAACACTTATAAAATCTTAAACAATATGACAGATTTAACATAGATAGGCTTAAACACAGCATTATATTTTAATTGCAGTATAAATAGATATGAAAACTAAAATCTTTACACTGGGAACATTTATAGAAATATATTCAAAAGTGGTCATTGCAAATAATTTAATGAAGATAGTGACCAACAGCCAAGCAAAATTCTAATGAAAAAGTTAAATATTGTTTGTGAGAAAACCAAAAAGAAGATGAAAATGCTACTCTTTCTATGTATCTAATATGGGTCAACCATAATGGGTTTTCTATAATTTATGTATTTTTAAATATTTCTATATTTGAGTATATCTTCCTTACAATTATGATCTATCATTATAAACCTCTATTACAAGGGATTCATATGTCATTAGAAGTCTTCACTACACTGTCAGTTCTGAAATGGAAAAGGTCCCATCACTCAACTCTAGGTCCTTTGGAATATTATAACAAATGAGATACTAACAGATTGCCCAAGGATACATTCACATCACTCACATGGCACTGGAATGGAACTGTAGACAAAATAGGATATCCTAGAGGAACATGGTGTCAAAATCTTCAGCAAATAGCTGATTTCCTCTGGTGAATTATTTATATTCAAAACGGCCAACTTGTCTACAGAGATCAAATTCAAATTTCTATGGAAACATCATATGGACATAACAAGAAAGATACCAATCATTAGAAACCTAGTGGAATTAGTGTTTTCCTAAATTTCGAGAATCAATTAGGAACCTGTAGATATTCAAATCCTTGCAATTAAATCATTCTTTAAAATCTGAAGAACAAATGGTCTTCCTTTTGCAAAATTATAACCAGAATAACAATATTAAATTTTCAGAATCTTAAAAATAATCTTGTTACCTTTTTGGGTACCTTTCTTATTACATCAACAAAATGAAAATTTGAGGATTTCTATGTAGCCAAAATTTGTCAAAAAATAAAAAGAACACTTGATAAATCTCTAGCATCCAAAGCGCTTTTCTAGATTTACATTCACCAGGAATACTGAAACCCAAACATGTCAAAGACAGGGATGTTTAAAAATGTAGAAACATCAGGAGCTAATTGACTAAAAGGGACCTAAAAAGGATAACCAATTTCTAAGGTCAACTTTACAGAGGCATACAAAATTTCAATCCTTGTATCTATGATGAGTTCATTTACTTGTCAGAGGGAGTTGGAATCTTAGTTTCTTAAGTTATTAAAGGATAGTTGTACCAGTGTGTAGTGACAATTCAACTGATGTCCAAGTGGGATGACACATTTTGGATGACACCTTTAGGTACTTGACATATAAAACTGAACTATTGTCATAGGTATTGTAACAATTATACAGCTATATCAATATAACCTTTCTTCATTCAGAAATGCTTCCAGATTTAATTTTATCAAAATACAGCTTCCAAAAAAACTGCCACTTAAAGATAACCACCACTGGTTAGTGATATCCCTCAATATTCAAAATGTCCTCTGTATTTGGACTCCTGTCTCTCTCTTAACAAAGCCTGAATCAATTCTGAAATTTAAATTAAATCTGATCTAAAAGTCATTTAATCATTGAAAATTCAAGTAGCTGGTGACAGCTTGATTTAATAGGAAGGAAACTTAACCAATTTTTGTAGTTTGATTTTTACATTAATGATAATTTTTAAAAATTAATGATCCAACTACAATGATTACTTCTGTTTTTTTTGTTAATTTTTATCAAAGGTATAATATTTCATTGAAAACATGACTAATATGTAAGTCAGAAAAGTCAAAATCAAAACTACCAAAATGTCTGAATACACGATAGACAAATATTCCAACTTTTTAATAGATTGAATTCCTTTGTATCATGAAAGTGACTGAAATGCACCATGTATTCAATGGTGTTTTTTTCCTCTATATCAATTTGTATTTAGCTATTTATTTCCACATTCATATCAGAAATTTTGACTATTGATTTCTCAAACTCCTATCAAAAGTTTTGGCAATTTAATTACACAAAAATATTTTGATATCTGACAGTTATGCTTTGTGTTTTAAAAAAAATGAGGATATTAGAATTTAATATTAGGAAATTCAAAGAAATGAAATAAGTGATTCACTATCATTATTTATTCGCCCTTTTGTAATAGTTTTAGATCAAGTCCTACAGATTGTTTACTGCAAAAGATTTAAACAGTAAATCTGACGGTCAGAAAAAGTTCCTGTGATTAATTTTTTTTTTAAATTACTTTTTTTACTTACAAATTTCAAATTAAAAAAAAAATCAACTTTCATAAACCACAGCTTTAAATATGGGTACATTTTCTGATTAAATATTCATAGGTAGGATGGTTAACTAGAACTAAGAATTGTTTGTAATATTCTCTGGCTACTGACCATTATACGATTTTTACTAAAATATAAGTTTTTATGGGCCAACAAATATTGCACTTTCTATTTGATGCATTGATACAGCAGACGTCAAATCTACCAAATATATTCTTAATTTTAGACAAATGACGCTTCCTCCACATGACAACTCGTAAACTTCAAATATTGATGGATCACATCCCTACAAAAATCGTTTTAATATCTAACTGAGAAAAAATAGATTTATTGTAAGCAGTTATGTCGAATGCAGGGATACATAGGCAGGGAATTGTCCCATCAGTATAAACGGGCATTGTGTAGTAGAAATATATTTAATAGCCATCAATAAAATGGAATTTTAAATTCTCTCTTTCATCTTTGACGCCCATAAACAAAAATTTAAAAACCACGACAGAATTTCTTTTAATATGATTTTTCACGCTTTTCTTATGAATTGTCGGATTTAAGTTTTTTGCACTTTACTAATGAATGTAGCAGAAGTTAGACCCCTTTGAAATTTGATGAAATCTCCTAAAGTATGAGGTTTATATTCATATTAAATGTATTTAACTTCTTCACAGATAAACTGCAAACTGTTGATGTACTTTGTATAAATACTAAATAAAAACTTGCAAAAAATCCTGCTTTTTCTCATTCTATATGTCTGAAACAGACTTCAAAGGAGTTAGAATTAATAACTTTTCTGGTAATCTATCTTCTTTTTATCTTTCTTTCAAATAAATCTTGTGAAATATTTGACATTATATGGATAAACACCCCAAAAAAATTCACATGTTAATAATTATAGTTTCCTCATATGAAATTATTTATTTAAAAAAAATGTTTACTCTAGAAACAGGTTTAAAATTTAAATAGTGAATTTCATATCATTTCTCAAAAAATATTAAAAGCAGAGGCATCATGACCAATACTAGAAATCATTCACAGCTGGTTTTATCTTAATTAACTACTTGTAAAATGATATGACTAGGAAAATGATGTGTATTGCCCAAAGCCTGGCACTTTTATCACTTCTAAAACCTCTACATGTATAAATTATTACTTCCAATCAATTCAACAACCTTTCTATATCATATACCAAAACAATAATGGTAATAAATCAATAATTAAAAAAAATATTTGAGAAAATAAAAAATGCAAGAATATGGTTTTCTTGATTATGAAGCTATTAATGGCTACAAACTTCTGTCAGAAATTAAACTGTTTGTTGTAAAATAATGGTAATTCTCTTAATGTAATTCAATTCATGTTAAATATGAATAATTTATGTCTCGTTTGAGTTTTTGTGACATGTAAAATTAACATGATGTAGATTTTAATTGTAATTTACACTGTTCTATTATTACCTGACCATGTGAATTATTTTCATAATCATTTTACCTTCTTTTTTTTTTCTTCAAATATTCAAATTTTTTATGATCATATAAGATATATGGTTTCTTTGTCTTTCATTCTGTCAAGTTTTCTCTGTGGGTTGGAATTTTTTTTTATTAAAAATGTAAGCGGAGACCAAAATTTAGTTCAAATTTTAAGATAACATTTCACATTCAGAAATTCTTCAATCAAAATCCATCAGTTTTCATTACAAGTGAATAATTTATTTGTATTTTTTCTAAATTGGAATTTGAAGAGAAATAAAAGTACATTTTGATAAGAGAGATCAGATATCCATGTTCTTTTACCTCTCTAATTTGTTTACACACAAATTCAAATAATTTCACACTCACTCCACATGGGGATGATAAAAAACACATAAAATTTGTTTTATGTTCCTACAAACTATGAGTATGTATTGATAAGTTTTATGTAACAGTATTTCTACGCTGACGTGAGTCTACAGTGCTAGGATGTTGATAGTATTAAATCCACATGCTCCTTAGTCAATTTTAACTGTTTTCCAGGGCTAGTAAACATATATTTAAAGATTTTATGAGTGGTATTAAAATGAAAATATGAGAAATGACTGTAAATTGATAATTTTATAGCATTTTCTTTAAATGTTATTTTTCCACCTGAATGAATGAAAACATGCACAATAAAAAGTTTAGCAAAAATTTGATGTGACATTAATTATTATAAACAGTAAAAATTGAAAGTAGGGATATAGTAAGATGCAATCTGATACAATAGTAAATGGTTCACAGCTCGATGAAAGTTTTTTGTCATATTGTTTTGTAGATTACAGGTAACTTAATGTTTACCTGACTGTATTTATGATGTAAATAAAACACTGAATACTTACTTACCTTAATCAAGACAAAAATTAAGATTTATCCACAAAAAAGCTTTAAAAGTCACAAAATCCACTAAAAGTCATAAAATTTGACAATAAATGCTTGCAGACCTTCAGAATAACATACGATCACATACTGAAGCTATCCATTTTGTATGGCTGTAGTATAACATAGCGCTCTGCCCACTGGGGCGTACCACTACATAATGACAGAGAAAAATAGCTCTATACTCAACGGCTTTAGTCGTTCAACCAACCAAGCCAATTGTTCAAAGAAAAATATAATTTATTATATTTAAATAAGTGTTGACACTTGGAGGATGAAAAATGAGAAATTTATTAATTTAATTAGACAGAATCCAAATATGGCCAAATCCTTGTACTAATGCGTTTTTTAGCGTTTCTTTTTTTCAGATGAAGTTATTGGGAAGATTATACTAGAAGTAGGGAGGACATATCTTATAGGCCTAACTATCTCTCATAAATATGATTAATTAATTTTAGTTGCTAACTGAAATGTGCTGTTTTAGACATGGAAATGACTATTAAATGCTGCCAAGGAATCTCTTACAGAATATTGTTTATAACTGTAATAAAATAACTATTTACTGTTCCTGGTACAATTTGAAAAGGGGGGGGGGGGGGGTAAGGAGGAATTGTTATGAGCTTTTTAATTTTTGTTTACTGCTGAATTTATATTCATTCTTTTTCTGGTTTCTCATTTAAAAAACAAAATTTTTTAGGTTTTATCAAAGAATTTGTGAATATTGCAATTTGAAAATAAATAAGTAATATTCAATTACTGTGCAGTTTTAAGAATAGATCCCAACATTGCTTAGAACTGTGAGTCAAAAAGTTCAAACATTTTTTTTCATAATTAATAGAAATACTGTATTTTAAACATTTTTTTTTCATATTTAATAGAAATACTGCATTTTGAACATTTTTCTTCAATCTCCTTAGATATATCAGTGTACTTTATTTTCCTACTCCAAAACAAGACTAGTGTTACAAGCTACATAATCTTTTCTGCAAAAAAATCCTATATTTTTTTAAAAACAAAAATCAACTTAAATTTCTGTATTTCCAAGGCACAAAGACAGACAGGTATACATTAAGAATTAAGCTATGACCTGGTATCTATTTAAAAACTTTAAAGCTTAAAACTGTAGTTCAGAAAAGTCTTGCATTTAGATTCTTTATACAGTTGTGAAATGAGAAGTTGCCATTGTAAACAAATGTTGTCTTTAATAATAAAAAAAAAAAATAATTGCCTGTATTATAAAGCATACAATGTCGGATAAAATTAAACAATACTGATAGAGCAAGACCTGTAAATCTCAAACATTTCGGTAAGATTTTGATCATTTGGGACTCATACAAACCTTGGTCAAGACATAAAATGTTTGTGTGTTCATGATTTTCTTGTCTTGATGCTTGGTGTTCAATTTACATTTGAATACTAGGAAATAAACGTTTTATTTCAATGAGATAGCAATTCAACAAGAATTATATCAAACTTTTTTCATTTGCTTTCCTTCTATCTTACCCCAATGTTTAGGATGTTCTCAGATTTTCTTTACATAGATATAAGAAGATGTGGTATGAGTTTACAGTTGTAAACCTAGAGGCTCCAAAGAGTCTGTGTCCCTCACCTAGGTCTATATGCATCTACAACAATGGACACACTCCAACATTGTAAACTAGAATATTATTCATGACAAAAATCTTTTTTTTTTATCTTGTATTGCTGAATATTTTTGTGTTTACATTTTCTCTCTATCTAAATTAGTTTTGCCCAAAACATAAACAAGAGTGCACACGCTGAAATCTCACCTGCTTTACTGACCATTGATTTTATGTTGATAGTCCTAAATATAAAGCTTTACTAAGAGTATCACATCAACTTAACATGATCCAAGAAAATGAGGTCAAGGTTAGATAAACCAAACTGGAAAAACATGCACACCTTACAATCATTCCATACACCAAATATAGTTGACCTATTGCTTATAGTTTCTAAGAATCAAACTTAACCAGGAAAAATTAACATTGACCAATGAACCCTGAAAACAAGGTCAAGTCAGATGAACCATGCCAGACAGACATGTACACCTTACAATCAATTTATCCATTATATATAGTTGACATATTGCTTATAGTTTCCAAGAAACAAGCTTAACTATGAAAAATTAACATTGACCAATGAACCATGAAAATGAGGTCAAGGTCAGATAATATCTGTCAGACAGACATATACACCTTACAACCATTCCATACACCAAATATAGTTGACCTATTGCTTATAGTATCTAAGAAACAAACTTAACCATAAAACTAAACATTGACCAATGAACCATGAATATGAGGTCAAGGTCAGATGATACCTGTCAGACAGACCTATACACCTTACAATCATTCAATACACCAAATATAGTTGACCTATTGCTTATAGTTGAAGAAAAACAAACCAAAGCACAAAAACTTAAGACTGAGCAATGAACTGTGAAAATGAGGTCAAGGTCAAATAAAACCTGCCAGACTGACACGTACATCGTAAAATATTTCCACACACCAAATATAGTTGACCTATTGCTTTAAGTATCTGATATATGGACTTGACCACAGAAACTTAACATTGTTCACTGATCCATGAAATGAGGTTGAGGTCAGATGAAAACTGTCCGACAGGTATGATGACCTTTGCAAGGTACGCACATACTACATATAGTTATCCTATTACTCATAATAAGAGAGAAATTAACATGACAAAAAATCTTCTACTTTTTTTTCAAGTAGCCACTGAACCATGAAAATGAGGTCAAGGACAATGGACATATGACAGACAGAAACTTCATAACATAAGGCATATATATACAAAGTATGAAGCATCCAGGTCTTCCAACTTCTAAAATATAAAGCTTTTAAGTAGTTAGTTAACGCCCCCGCCACCGCCGCCGGATCTCTATCCCTATGTCGAGCTTTCTGCGAAAGAAGAGTAAAAACAATTTCGTCATTTAAGGGCAATAATTCCTATAAAAAGTTTACAAATGATTTTGGCAAAGTTTGACTTATTTGTAGATCTTGTCTTGCTGATCATTTTTGCTATTTAAAGTGTCAATCTATCTTTGATAGTTTCCAAGATAATAGGCAAAAACGCAAAAAATTGGTAAAAGTAGTCATTTAAGATCAATAACTCAAATAAGGGGTCGACTTATGATATCTGCCATGCTGACTGATTTGTAAATCTTGTCTTGTTGATCATTTTTGGCTATTTAAAGTGTCTATCTATCATAGCTTTCAAGATAAAAGGCAAAAGAAAACAAAGATTGGTAAAATCGTCTTTAAAGAGCAATAACTCCAATAAGGAGTCTACTGACAATTTTGACCATTAGACTTATTTGTAGATCTTTTCTTGATGATCATTTTTGCTATGTAAAGTTTCTCTCTAACTATTACAGTTTGCAAGATAATAGACAAAAATGGAAAAACTAATTTAAGGGCAATAACTTCTATAAGAATATAGATATATATCCGACAGTTTTGATGTAAACCAACAGTAGGTAAATCTCAACATTTTGAAAATATCTGCCCCTTTCAGAATTTCTCTATTTATTTCAGCCATGTCGGCCATATTGGTTGGCAAGCGGGGTCATTGGATACATTTTTTAAACTATAGATACCCCAATGATGATTGTAGCTTAGTTTGATTAATTTGGCCAAGTAGTTTTAGAGGAGAAGATTTTTGTAAAAGTTAACAAACTACAACAATGGGTGCTCACATGCTAAATAAACAGCTGCGCCATGAGCGCATGATACGCCCGTCGTCTTGTGTGTGAATTTTTATGCAATAAGCATAAATAGTTTCTGACATACAGCGTGACATGCGAAAACCCCCTTTTTTTTTTACAAAAAAATCAATATCTCTAAAATAAAATTTTGAATCAAAACCAAAAAGTATACAGATCTTAAGATTAATATAATTAAGAAGTGTGTAAAATTTTAAGCAATAATCATAAATTGTTTTTGAGATACGGCGCGACATGTGAAAACCCCCCTTTTAAAAAAAAAAAAACAATATCTCAAAAATAAAATTTTGAATCATCACCAAAAAGTATACAGATCTTAATGTTAATATAACTAAAAAGTGTGTAAAGTTTTAAGCAAAAATCATAAACTGTTTTTGAGATACGGCGCGACATGTGAAAAACCCCTCCCCCTTTTTTAACAAAATACTCAATATCTCTAAAATAAAATTTTGAATCATCACCAAAAAGTATACAGATCTTAAGATTAATATAACTAAGAAGTGTGTAAAGTTTTAAGCAATAATCATAAATTGTTTTTGAGATACGGCGGGACATGTGAAAAAAAACACACACCTGTTTTAGTTACTAAGTCCCGTAACTCAAAAAGTTTGAATCTTATTTTCACCAAAAGTATACAAATAGTTTGACCATCAAAAGAAACAACTATGTTAAGTTTCATGAAATTTGGATAAGTCATTCTCAAGATACGGTGCGACATGTTTACGCCGGACAGACAGACGGACAGACGGACAGACAGACGGACAGACAGAGGGCCGGACGCCGGACATTTGTATACCATAATACGTCCCGTCAAAAATTTGACGGGCGTATAAAAAAAAGGTGAAGATAGGCTTTTCATAACTCCTCTGTCACTACTTAATTTTATGCACGTTGCTTAATTATATATATATTTAAGTATCATATGTTGAATTAAAAATAAGCTAAATAAACAATAATTCAAAATTTTATGAGAATAATAAATCTTGTTAATTCTTATTTTGTCCATTTAGCAGTTGCCTGTAACAGAACAAGACAGATTGGTTATTTATGAGACTTATTTGCATTCTGTGAGAAGTTGTTACTAAATTTTTACCAAATTAAGTTAACCACTTATGAAGATATATGGCCATTAACTTTTACAGAATAATACTGGACCATTTTTTATGAAGATAGATGATTATTTTAGCGTCATATTGCCCTTTAAGTAGTTCCTTAGTCATAACGACAGAATTCATTAATATCAGCGGAATTGTGTACTCAAAATCATGGAAACATCAAGGAAACAATTAAGGAATTATACATGTATCTAACAGCTGTTATGTGAAGTAAAAAGTCATTTTGCATCCTTTTTTTTTCATTAAAAATAAATTTTGTTATTTCCATCAGAACCAATTTTTTTCAATCTACCAATCTCCTCTTTCATAGGTTCTAACCTGTTACCCAATTTTAACCCTGAACCACTTTTCTGTAAAACTTTAGGTTCACAGGAAAAATTGCAACATATGTTTTTCATATGTTTTCAAAACATATGAAAAACATATGATTTTCATATGTTTTTCATATGTTTGTCCCAAACATATGAAAAACATATGTTTACAAACATATGTTTACATATGTTTTGAAACATATGAAAACATATGGAAGCAAACATATGTTTTCATATGTTTTATAAAATATGTTTACATATGTTTGTAAACATATGAAAAACATATGATTTTCATATGTTTTCATATGTTTTAAAGGACATTAAAAAAAATGTTTTGAGAAAATGTCAAAATTTGTCATTTAATTATCACATACATTTTTTCATTTATTATCTATATAGCGTATTTCTCAAACAGGAAAGTTCACTTTCTACTCTTCCCACTAAATCCCACATGATCATGATGATGAAAGCAGGTCAGCCCTGTCAGTGTCATTCCCCACAGCAGAGATATCTAATTTTGAATTGAACAGAATGTAGAATAAGTGAATGGGTTATAAATATTAAATAATAATATGAATAAATATTCTTTATTTAGTTTGTTCTTTATTCTCAATTCTTTTTTTTTTTTTTTTATTAATAATCCAATTATTCTCTATGATTCTTTATTCTATATTTCTGCCTTTTTTACTATCTGTTCTTTATTTTGCACTTTTTGTCATTATTTTCTATTCTTAAACTCCCATCTTGATTCCAGACCCTCAAATATACGTAAATGTACGAAAGCTTGCATGAGCCCCCTTGCATGGTACGTCGAACACGAAAACCCGGAAATCTTTTCACCGTTACCGTTTTTTTATACTATGACGCAAAATCCATGGACGCTCACGCGATCATCTGTTGCTGTCTTTTTATAAGTTTTTAAGAATGGACAGAGATAGATGATACAAGGAACTTTGGTTTTTCAAACTGGTGAATCAAAAATTTATTATAAACAGATAAATTGAAATGGGTGATCTGTCGATTAACTGGAATAACCATATAAATTGTAAGCCCTTTAGACAATAAGACAAACTTGGAAAAAGGGGGGATATCATATACATGTACAAGGGGAGGACATCATATACTTGATGTAATGTATTGGAATTGTTTATCTAATGTCACAACAGAACTTAATTTCTTTAAATGATGCAGACCTGTATATCTTATGATAAATGTGTGGTATTTGTATTTGTTTTTCAGTTGTTTTAAAACCATGAAAATGTAGACGACTTTATTATCTCTCTAGCAATTAATAGCTATTTTACACTTAATAGATAGGGGTGCCCCTGGGGATCAATTACTCCCCCCTTTTCATATAATTTAGATTTAAAAAATGTATATACCTTTTCATACATCGCGTAGGTAATAATGTACATGTAACCTTTTCCCAATTTTAATAATGAATGATTCCAGGACATGCAGGAGCGGACAAGAATCACATTCCTGTATTACCGAGAAAATCATCACATTTGATTAAAGCTCAAATTCCTTATTTTATGTTAACTTAAGGCAAAACGAGACTTGCAACTACACAAATGTAAGAAAATTACAGGGCTTTGCATCTGAGAGGGGGGTAGGACCTTTATCGGGACTCTGGGATCGGGTGTTTTTAAGCTCGGGATTTCAGGATTGATCCTTTCGGGATCCGGGAATTCTTTTTTTTCGAATTTCGGGATGTCTGGATTTAATTTTTTTTAAATTCGGGACCTCAGAATTCCATGTTTTTAAGCCCGGGATTTCAGGATCAGGACCCCTCCTACCCCCCATCATATGACAAGTACAATAAGCCTTGATTATCCTGAGTCTGAGACTACTATTACTGAGTACTATAACAATAAACATCTAGTATTTCTCAGCCTTATCATACATGTATTATACTTCTGATAGTTTTCCACACCTATTCGCATATGTTTAAGCTGAAAAATATGACCCCGGCTATTACAGCGGCAGGTCTTATCACCTTGTACATTATAAGTAGAAGTGGACCCTAGAGTGCATGAATGGTCTACTTTACATCTACTTAAATGTGAATATAAAAATAAAAAGATGTGGTAAGATTGCCAATGAGAAGAGTCCAATTCTCCACAAGAGATCAAATGACATAGAAGTTAACAAGTATATTAAAGTTATGGTACAAATGTACAAGATGACTTCAACAATGAACAAAGCCCATACCAGAAAGTCAGCTATAAAAGACATTTAATGGAAATGACAAATGTTAAACAATGCAAATGAAGAAACTAACAGACTGATAATGATTTATAAACAAAACAAGGAACAAATAAACAAATATGATATACAGCAACAAGAAACAGGGCAAGTCTAGATCTGTTGTTCTTGTTTTAAAAGATCAAAATAAGCCATTTTTGCCATATAAAAATATTTAAGGCAATTTGGCAGATGTATTGTAACTTCATCTTATTATACATTTGAACATGTTATACATTATTTCTTTTAGCATTTTCAATAAAAGTACATTTTGTACATGTACTTCAACAGAACAGAATTCATTTGAGGCCTTGCTTTCCAGATTATATAATGGATTCATAGATTGTCATATTGATTTATGTGCATAAAAGGAGCAGTAGTCAATGAATAATTTTGTGATGAGAGGTATGTAATGAAGAGGATAACTTTGTTTAAATATTTTGTTGTTGTCAGACTGTATACATGTTGCAAGTTTTGAGGTCATAGACATGATAGAGTTGAAAGTTTTGATTCTTGTTGTGGGCTATTTCTATAAGCAGTGACAAATTTTTTTTTTTACAGGTCAATTTTATAGAAAATAGGGTTGGAAGCTCTATTAACACTTCATTGCTTGTTCTTTTTTTGTCTTGCAACAACAGTCATGAAGGTGAGTCTTGGGCATGCTGTTTTTAACAGAGGCGAAGTAATAAACAATTTGTTAAAAATTGAGATTAGGTCAGTTTAAGAGGAACCAAACAATAACGTATGGCCGAGTTATGGTTAAATAAGTCAATAATATTTTTTGCAGTAGAAGTAGGATATCCACTTCTCATTTCCATTTCCATTGAGATTATATGGTCCAAATCCCTCAGTCATGGTTGATTGACTTTGATATTTTTACTTAACTTAAATGTGAAAAGTTTCTGATTAGGTCAGTTTGAGTGAACCAATAATGATAAATCATTGATATTTGCATGAATTGATATGCAGTTGTATTTGTCAGAGTACTAGCACATTTCATATCCCTTGTTTTTTTATTTTGCCCAGCCCCTCAGTCATGGTCTATTGATTTTGAAACTTTGTCAAGTCATGGATGGTGTGTGACTTTGGATGTTTAAGCATTGTCATTTGAAATCAACTAACAGGATTTCATACAGAGAAGACATGCTTCTATGTCTAAAGTTTATTCATATAATATTAATGTATACCAAAGGTTTATTATATACCAGTAATGTCTTGGATAAATTATTTATACAGGAATTACTTCATTTTGAAATGTAAATTCTATGGAAGATAACCATTTTTTCCAGTAAAGCACTGTTATGGTTGCATTTTTTTGTCAGATATTTTTGTAATTCATACCATAGGTCTATATCAGCATGGTCTTTTAGTTTTATGAGTTAGAAAATAACTGCTGATCAAATATGTTTACAGTAGTTATACCTCTTGGAAATAGATATTGTAAGAAAAACTGCATTGCAAGCAATCCCACACATGTCTTCATTTCTTTTAGATTATTTATAATTATGAAAAAGGTTAAAAGAACATACATATTTTTTGCTTTTTGACAGCAAATTTTATATATCCATCAATTGGCGAAGTACATTGAAGCGCTGTTCTTTTATTAAGTGCATGAAGTATGGATGGTAACACAAATGACAACATATTATGTTCATGAGTTAATATTGCCTTGTCTGAAAATAGTATACGCGAAGTACTAACATTGAACTATGGTAATGTTGTGAGCCTAACGCTGTAGTGAATGACGTTATTGTATAGATTTCATAGCTACAACAACGATTAAACGTACATTGCAATCATAAGTATTTATTAAGATTCCACAACATGCCTATAAATGGTGTATTTAAACAATTTTGCCTATGTAACAGGAAATCAAGATTTAATAAACATCAAGAGTTAATGCCTAAATGTTGTTTTTTATACGACCGCAAAAAAATTTTGCGGTCGTATATTGGTATGACGTTGGCGTCGTCGTCGTCGTCCGAAGACACATTGGTTTTCGCACTCTAACTTTAGTTTAAGTGAATGGATCTCTATGAAATTTTACCATAAGGTTCAATACCACAAAAGGAAGGTTGGGATTAATTTTGGGGGTTATGGTACCAACAGTTAAGGAATAAGGGGCTAAAAATAAGCATTTTTGTAACTTCGAGACATAACTTGTGTGTTAGTGTATGGATCTCTCTGACATTGTACCACAAGGTTCCATATCACAAAGGGAATACTGGGATTGATTTTGGGGGTAATTGTCTCAAAATTTTAGGAATTAGGGGCCAAAAAAAAGGCAAAAAACAAGCATTTTTCTAGTTTCATGACAATAACTTGTGTGTAAGTGTATGGATCTTTCTGAAATTGTACTACAAGGTTCCATATCACAAAGGGAAAGCTGGAATTGAGTTTTGGGGTAACTACGTTTAGGAATAAGGGGCCAAAAAGAAGCATTTTTCTAGTTTCCAGACAATAACTTGTGTTCAAGTGTATGGATCTCTGAAATTGCACTGCAAGGTACCATACCACAAAGGGAAGGCTGGGATTGATTTTGGGGGTAATTGCCTCAAAATTTTAGGATTTGAGGCTAAAAAGGGGCAAAAAACAAGCATTTTTCTAGTTTCAGGACAATAACTTGTGTGTAAGAGTATGGATCTTTATGAAGTTGTACTACAAGGTTCCATATCACAAAGGGAAAGCTGGGTTTGAGTTTGGGGGTAATTGCCCTAAATGTTTAGGAATTTGGGACCAAAAAGGGGCTTAAAACAAACATTTTTCTAGTTTCCAGACAATAACTTGTGTTCAAGTGTATGGATCTCTCTGAAATTGTACTGCAAGGTACCATACCACAAAGGGAAGGCTGGGATTGAGTTTGGGGGTGATGAATCATAAGGGGGTTCAAAAAATTTGGGGGAGGGATTTTTTTTTCCTTTTTTTTTTCTTTAAAATTTTCCATTTTAAATTAATTGGTTATTTCTGATTTATATATAAAGGCAAATAATAATGAGTCTTTTTTTATTATGATATGGTTTGAATAGGTAAATTAAAAAAATTTAAGTTCTTAGACCACATTCATTCTGTGTCAGAAACCTATGCTGTGTCAAATATTTAATCACAATCCAAATTCAGTGCTGTATCAAGCTTGAATGTTGTATCCATACTTGCCCCAACCATCAGGGTTCAACCTCTGCTGTCGTATCAAGCTGTGCCCAGCAGAGCATTTTATTTTAAACTGTAGACAGCAGAATAGATGATTTATATTGGAAAAAGTTCATACTATACTAAGACGGGCTTAGGCTATACATATATTATTAATATTAGTTACACTGTTGATCTTTTTATACGACCGTTGTTGTTTGCTTACACATTTTTTCCATTCACTCAAAAGTAAAAATATAAATTAGTGACTCTGAGCATCAGTTCATACGTCATCTACAAAAATGATCTAGTTTTTGTCTGGAGTTCTGGATTAAATTAAGATTTACAATTTTAGCTTATTACCATGGTTACCAAATGAAAGGAAAGTGCAGTATTAGAATCACTGGTGTACATGTAGATGCGGATGTCCGGCAAAAAGAACTGGTATCAAAGTAAGTTCATCTGTAGAATTGCAGTTAATTTAAATAATTTAATGTTATCTATTTAAACCTTTTTCAAGTGTAATTGTACATGTTACGGCATGTATACTGTTGTTTATTTATGTCTTTCTGATGTCAAGTATGCATCAAGGAATCCTTATCCTGCTCTCCTTCTTCTGCTCCACACACACACACGCATGAGATGACAGAAGTTCAAATATTTATAGCATTTGCTTATATTATGAATTGTATATTTAAAAGTTGTTCTCGTCTGAAATATACATACATTGTAAAATATTTGCCACTGAACATTAAAATAAGCAAAAAAAATCAATCGATTATTGTTTTTGCATTATAGGAATGAGTTTTCAAACATACATGTATAACAATTGAATAATTTCCTTTTAAGATTTTTTTATGAACCAGCATATAGATATAACATGTATAAGGAGATGAGGTACATGTATGATTCTTAATGTGACAACTATCAATTAAAAAACCAAAGGACGAAGATGTAAACATTTGCTGGTCACTGTACAGCCATAAACAATGATCAAAATCCATACCATAAAGTAACCTATTATGGCTATACATGTAACTTGTATAAGGATGAAAAAATGTGAACCAATAAAAAAAATAAAACTACACACAGTATGGCAGACAGCACCCAACATAAGAACCAAATGTCAGAATCAGCCAGAAAGGGCTGGACTCATCAACAAGCACTAAAAAGAAATAACAAAATAATAAAAGATGCAAAAATTATGTATTCCCAAACTAAAATATCTATCAGTTCACCTTCGACAGATTTAATCAATTAATGTAACAACAAAACATTTGTCATTTCAAACAGTCTAAGAAAGCATGACTTTGTGTAATGCCAAAATATTGAACACACAAGAATATGTAGGACCATAACAGCATATAAGTATTAATAGTTGCATAGAATTTCAATTTCTGAAATACATGTTCTGCTTTTTGTCAAGCTTGCAAATTTATTTCACGAAAGCGAGACAGTGATCCTAGATTCTGCCAGAGGCGGCGTCGCTGTCCTAAAATTTAGGTTCAGTCTGTGGTTAAATTTTTTTTGAACATTGATAACTTTGTCAAACAGACATGGGATTTTGTGAAATTGAGACAGAATATTTGAAGTTTCTTAATGACCAAACTACAGTATCCAAGGCAAAATTTTTCTGTATTTCAACTAATAAATGGGCTTAGTTTTTTTGATGAGCTTGCGACTTCCGTTGCAGAAAGCTCGACATAGGGATATTGATCAGGCGGCTGCGTCCATGGTGGGGTTAACAAACTTCTTCAAATCTTTATATTTTAGAAGGTGGAAGACACGGATGCTTCATACTATGTACAATGTATATAGATGCATATGTATGTTATGAAGTTTCTGTCAGTCAACTGTCCATTGTCCTTGAACTCATTTTCATGATTTAGTGATTACTTGAAAAAATAAAGATTTTTTGTAATGTTAATTTCTCTCATAATTTCTCTCTTATTAATATTATTTATAGTATTCATGGTAATAGGATATTTATATTTACTTAGTATATGGGTACCTTGCAAGGTCCTAGTGTCTGTCTACTCTGTCAGAAAGTTTTTGTGGTCAAGTCAATATCTCAGGCATTATCAGCAATAAGTCTACTGTATTTGGTGTATGGAATTATTGTAAGGTGTAGATGTCCAACTGGTAGTTGTAATCTGGCCTTGACCTCATTTTAATGGTTCAGTAATAAGTTTTTATGTTTTGGTCTAATTTTTATACGACCGCAAAAAAAATTTTGTGGTCGTATATTGGTATGACGTTGGCGTCAGCGTCGTCCGGCGTCGTCGTCCGAAGACACATTAGTTTTCGCACTCTAACTTTAGTTTAAGTAAATGGATCTCGATGAAATTTTACCATAAGGTTCAATACCACAAAAGGAAGGTGGGGATTGATTTAGGGGGTTATGGTACCAACAGTTAAGGAATTAGGGGCCAAAAAGGGGCCAAAAATAAGCATTTTTGTAACTTCCAGACATAACTTGTGTGTAAGTGTATGGATCTCTCTGACATTATACCACAAGGTTCCATATCACAAAGGGAATGCTGGGATTGATTTTGGGGGTAATTGCCTCCAAATTTTAGGAATTAGGGGCCAAAAAGGGGCCAAAAACAAGCATTTTTCTACTTTCATGACAATAACTTGTGTGTAAGAGTATGGATCTTTCTGACATTGTATCACAAGGTTCCATATCACAAAGGGAATGCTGGGATTGATTTTGGGGGTAATTGCCTCCAAGTTTTAGGAATTAGGGGTCAAAAAGGGGCAAAAAACAAGCATTTTTTTAGTTTCATGACAATAACTTGTGTGTAAGTGTATGGATCTTTATGAAATTGTACTACAAGGTTCCATATCACAAAGGGAGAGCTGGAATGGAGTTTGGGGGTAATTGCCCAAAAAGTTTAGGAAAAAGGGGCCAAAAAGGGGCCAAAAATAAGCATTTTTCTAGTTTCCAGACAATAACTTGTGTTCAGGTGTATGGATCTCTCTGAAATTGTACTGCAAGGTACCATACCACAAAGGGAAGGCTGGGATTGATTTTGGGGTTAATTCCCTCAAAATTTTAGGAATTGGGGGCCATAAAAGGGCAAAAAAACAAGCATTTTTCTAGTTTTAGGACAATAACTTTTGTGTAAGTGTATGGATCTTTATGAAATTGTACTGCAAGGTTCCATATCACAAATTAACGGGAAAGCTGGGTTTGAGTTTGGGGGTAATTGCCCTAAACGTTTAGGAATTTGGGGCCAAAAAACAAGCATTTTTCTAGTTTCCAGACAATAACTTGTGTTCAAGTGTATGGATCTCTCTGAAATTGTACTGCAAGGTACCATACCACAAAGGGAAGGCTGGGATTGAGTTTGGGGGTGATGAATCATAAGGGGGTTCAAAAAATTGGGGGGGGGGATTTTTTTTTCCTTTTTTTTCTTTAAAATTTTCAATTTTAAATTGGTTATTTCTGATTTATATATAAAAGCAAATAATAATGATATGGTTTGAATAGGTAAATTAAAAAATTTTAAGTTCTTAGACCACTTTCATTCTGTGTCAGAAACCTATGCTGTGTCAAATATTTAATTACAATCCAAATTCAGTGCTGTATCAAGCTTGAATGTTGTGTCCATACTTGCCCCAACTGTTCAGGGTTCGACCTCTGCGGTCGTATCAAGCTGCGCCCCAGCGGAGCATTTTATTGGATACTATAAGCATTCAGTAAATTATATTTGGTGTATGGAATGTTTGTAAGGTGTACTGATCTAAAATTGAGAATGGAAATGGGGAATGTGTCAAAGAGACAACAACCCGACCAAAGAGCAAAAAACAGCCAAAGGCCACCAATGGGTCTGACAGTAATCACCTAAACTTGACCTCATCTTCATGGTTCATTGGATATTTTTTTCTTGCTTAGAGGTGAACTATAATTGGTTTCTGGAATGATTGTAAATTAAAATTGTAAGGTGTTTAGGTTTAACTTTACATTTATGTTGCAGGCTTCATCTGACCTTAACCTTATTTTCATTGTTCATTGGTCAATATTAAATTTCTCTTGATTTGGTCTTTTTTTTAGATACTAAAAGTAAAGGTGAACTACTTTATGTTTATGGAATGATTGTAAGGTATTTATATTTGTCTTGCAGGTACAATTCTTGCCAGATTTTTTAAAACTTATTCTATAGGTTAATATCAGCATAATCCTAGTCAAGCTTTATAAATTTGGCCGATCAACTTTTTTCTAAAGAGTTATGCCCCTTGGAAATAATAAATTTATGGAAAATGGCCTCGTAAATGCTCTCATTTTTTGTCGAGCCTTCGACTTTTGTCGAAAAAGCGAGACATAGCGATCCTACATTCCGTCGGTGTCGGCGGCGTCCAAAAATATTCACTCTGTGGTTAAAGTTTTTGAAATTTTAATAACTTTCTTAAACTATCCTGGATTTCTACCAAACTTGGACAGAAGCTTGTTTATGATCATAAGATAGTATCCAGAAGTAAATTTTGTAAAAAAAAAATCCTGTTTTTCCGTATTTTACTTATAAATGGACTTAGTTTTTCTGCCAGGAAACATTACATTCACTCTGTGGTTAAAGTTTTTAAAATTTTAATAACTTTCTCAAACTATCCTGGATTTGTACCAAACTTGGCCAGATGCTTGTTTATGATCATAAGATAGTATCCAGAAGTTAATTTTATTAAAAAAAAATCCTGTTTTTCCGTATTTTACTTATAAATGGACTTAGTTTTTCTGCCAGGAAACATTACATTCACTCTGTGGTTAAAGTTTTTAAAATTTTAATAACTTTCTCAAACTATCCTGGATTTCTACCAAACTTGGCCAGATGCTTGTTTATGATCATAAGATAGTATCCAGAAGTAAATTTAAAAAAAAAAAATCCTGTTAATCCGTATTTTACTTATAAATGGACTTAGTTTTTCTGCCAGGAAACATTACATTCACTCTGTGGTTAAAGTTTTTAAAATTTTAATAACTTTCTTAAACTATCCTGGATTATAACCAAACATGGCCAGATGCTTGTTTATGATCAAAAGCTAGTATCTAGAAGGAAATTTTTATTAAAATTTTGTACTTGTTTATCCATATTTTACTTATAAATGGACTTAGTTTTTCTTCCAGTTAACATTACATACAGTCTGCAGTTAAATTTTTAAAAATATTTATTAGATTCATAAACTATCCTGGATTTTTACCAAACTTGGACAGAAGCTGCTTACAATAAAAAAATTGTATCGAGAGGAATATTTTTATTAAATTTTTTCCTCATCTCATTTTTGTTGAGCCTGCGATTAACAGCAAAAGTAGGCAAGACACTGGGTTCCGCGGAACCCTTACGAATTTTTTTATTAAACTTATACATGTAGTATACTATTATAGTAATGCCCTGGTCGGTTTGAAATATTTAGTATACAAGAAAAAGAACTTTTTTTCCCCCAAACACATTTTTATTTATAAATATTTTTGAGAACAAAAAATAAAATTGAGAATGGAAATTGGGAATATGTCAAAGAGACAACAACCTGACCAAAGAGCAAAAAAACATGTTTTTTTTAAATATTGCCCCTTGATAGATAAAAAATGTACGACTAGTTGGACATTGAAACTCTTTTCTTTTATTTTTACTTGCAGAAACTGAAAAGTAAAGAAACAGAACCAAAGAACGTTAATTTTAGATTAATACAATATTGAACTGAAAGTCAATTTAGTTGTCTTTCTTAATCATACAGGATGTTTCCAAAAAAGCAGCTGCATACACATGCACCAGTAATAGCCAGCAGTGAAGACAATTAAATATCTGTGTATGGTGATATAGCAATAGAAATATCACATACATCATAGGAAAATAGAAATGGAGTATGTCAAAGAGACACACATAATGACATATGAAAATAGAATATAGACAATAGAAATGGAGTATGTCAAAGAGACACACATATGAAAATAGAATATAGACAATAGAAATGGGGTATGTCAAAGAGAAACACATGAAAATATAGAACATAGACAATAGAAATAGGGTATATCAAAGAGACAAACATATGAAAATAGAATATAGACAATAGAATTTGGGTATGACAGAGACAAAAATATTAAAAATAGAATACAGACAAAAGAAATGGGGTATGCCAAAGAGACTAACATATGAAAATAGAATATAGACAATAGAAATGGTGAATGTCAAAGAAACAAACAAACCAAAATAGAATATACTAGACAATAGAAATGTGGTATGTCAAAGAGACAAAAATATGAAAATAGAAGAGACAACAATTTAATAAAAAAAAAATTCTACTTGATATAAAAATTATGGAGCACTGTTATTTTTCTGCATAAAAGAATGCCTGTATACAGTTGTTTTTTATTTGTTTGAGCTTTTGATGTTGCCATGTATTTTCTGTGGAGTTTGGTATTTTGGGTTATTTACTTTTTAAAGCAACAGCTCATCACAAATAAATGCATTTGAACAATTAAAAACATATAAAAAATATATATTGAGGACCAAGATAAAATCATATGAAAACATATGTTTGGGCCAAACATATGAAAACATATGTTTAGGACAAACATATGAAAACATATGTTTAGGCCAGGTATGAAAACATATGAAAAACATATGTTTGTAAAAAACATATGAAAAACATATGTTTTCCATATGTTTACATGTATGAAAAACATATGTTTTTCATATGATTTTAAAAACATATGTTTTTCATATGTTTTCCATATGTTTTTCATATGTTCGAAAACATATGTTTTCATGTCGGGCCTAAACATATGTTTACATATGTTTTCAAACATATGAAAAACATATGTTAAACATATGAAAACATATGTTGCAATTTTTCCTATGTTATATTTTTAGTATCTGTCATGTAAACATTAAGAAAGTTGACTTCATAATCTATTGGGATCTTATGTGATCACTTGTTCCAGTTTGATTCCAATCCCTAGTTAGGTTCTCAAGTTTCCAATTGGCAACTAAAATCAACTACTGTAAATTCAGAAATTATTGCGATTTTGTCATTTAAGACTAAAATGCGATTTTAATTTTTGCAATATTGAGAAAAATCCTGTTTAATTCATATAAAAAATTTCAATATGCGAGTTTAAATTATTGCGATTATAACCCTGTCGCATTTTTCGCAATAATAAAAACATCGCAATAATTTCTGAATTTACACTAAATGCTGACAAATGGATGGACGATGGGTCAAAACTATATATCCTACTACTTTATGAAATCCCCCTGCTACTTCATGGCATACTGTTATGAATATATGCAAACTAAAATAATTGTTGAAAGAAGTATATTGTTTATATGGATTTGTTATAAAAAGTTCAAGAGATTAATATCAAAAGATGACAAATCGAGTTCAATGGCAATGAAATCATTATGCAACCAATCTTTGCTGATCATTACCATACAAGGTGAACTGTGAGCCGCTCACTAATGATACCCCATCTATAAGTATAGGGTAAACAGGAAGTTGATGAGTGATGGATGTAAAAACACATAGCACAGTATATATATATATCCGTTCATCCTATTTCTAATATTTTGACTCTTCAAAATTCAAGAGTCCATCCTAAATTGAGGTAAATTATATGGCCTTCTAAATACCGTTTCGATCCCTAACATCACTGATGAGACATTAATTGTCGAAATCTGGATATGGTGTACTAATTTTTGCACCTTTTGTTTGCGGTATACCATCTTTTCCGCAAGTTTATTGTTTTCTGTTTGGTATTTAATTAATAATTTTAAAAGATCCATTTTGTAACATCTTGTGATCCGTTTATTTGGCAATCGCCAATGGCAGTCAGCAGGGTTTAAGAACATCTGTTGTTCGACCTGTTAGTCAAATGCGTTTTGTTAAAATATACTTTTTCACTTTTTTGGTCTTTTGGAAAATGTTGTTTGTGCTGTATTTGGACCCCTCTATCAAGAAATTTGTTTTGCATGCACACATATAAAAATTGCGGTTTTTATCCAACGCAATCATAGGTTTGAACGTTGTTTTCAATTTAGACGTGTATATATTTATCATATACTTGTAGAAAATAACGGTATAATTGTACCCCTTGATAAAACTAATTTATACATATATTTATTCAATAAATTTGAAGAATTGTCTTAGCCGTGTGATATGACTTTTGTTATCAACTGCTTCTGGTATATATCAACTGTTTCCGGTTTATATCAACTGCTTCCGGTTATTATCGCAGGCTTTTCTTTAACGTAATCGCAAAGAATTTCGACGTCATTTTGCAAACTCCAGAAAATAAACCTCAGTGGTACATTTAAGTGAAAAACATAGCTAAGTAGAATAACAGAAGGAAAATTAGGAAACAGGAAAATATATTATTAAAAAACGCAAAACAAATAATACAATAAATGAATTTTATAAAGTTTTAAAAAAGTTTTCATGTCTGTATGGCTTCTGCTGAAGTATATGATAAAAAGAACATAACATGTCATTTTTCATATCAGACCCCTTATCAGCCCATGGTCAAAATCATCCCTCGAGCCTGTCGGCTCTTGGGCTGATAAGGGGTCTGATATGAAAAATGCCATGTTATAATCTATATATATAGCATGCTCAAATGAAGGTCGATTTCAATTTTCAGAAAGCTCTGATCTGTTGTTCCTGACTCCTGAGATAAATGAAACCAAAGTTTTACACATGGGCTGAATGTGTAAGAACATGCACGTATTTGGTAAACAGTAATTTGATAAGCAATGAATCTGAAAACAGATCACACAGTACAAAATGCTCTCATGAAGCTTCATACCAAATTTCAGAATGCTCTGATTTGTAATTCTTGAGAAAAACAGGCCCACAATTATATTGGATGGACAAAATGGACTCATAGGACAAAAAAAAACAAATCACAAATCTATGCTGCCACAGGGGAAAGTTGTCTATTTGACCTCTGAAAGTCTTCATTGACCTAATTAAAGAACCTTAGTGAGCGCGCTCACATACCCCACATCCCCACATTGTTATTAGAGAAATAAAATAAGTGTAAGAAAAAAAAATTTTATCAGAAAAAAAAATTGAATCATAATTTCCTGTCAATATGCACATCTACATAGTATGTCCTTATTATCTGAAAAGGTTTCATGAAATTCTGTTGTGTGGTTTGAGAGGAGTTGCGATGACAAAAGGTTGCAGTAGTATATTGGGCAAATAAGTTCAAAGGGGCGTAACTCCTGGAAATAAAATTGAATCGTAATTTCCTGTCGATATGCACATCTACATAGTATGTCCTTATTATCTGAAAAGGTTTCATGAAATTCTGTTGTGTGGTTTGAGAGGAGTTGTGATGACAAAAGGTTGCAGTAGTATATTGGGCAAATAAGTTCAAAGGAGCGTAACTCCTGGAAAAAAAATTGAATCGTAATTTCCTGTCGATATGCACATCTACGTAGTATGTCCTTATTATCTGAAAAGGTTTCATGAAATTCTGTTGTGTGGTTTGAGAGGAGTTGCGATGACAAACTGTTGCAGTAGTACATTAAAGTAAATAAGTTCAAAGAGGCGTAACTCCTAGAAAAAGAATTGAATCGTAATGCACAACTACATAGTATGTCCTTATTATCTAAAAATTCGTAAGGGTTCCGCGGAACCCAGTGTCTCGCCTACTTTTGGTGTTAATCGTAGGCTCAACAAAAATGAGGAAAAAACTTAATAAAAATGTTCCCCTCTAAACTATGTTTTGATTGTAAGTAGCTTCTGTCCAAGTTTGGTAAAAATCCAGGATAATTTATGAATCTAATAAATGTTTTAAAAACTTAAACTGCAGAATGTATGTAATGTTGACTGGAAGAAAAACTAAGTCCATTTATAAGTAAAATACAGAAAAAATGGAACAAAATTTTATCAAAATTTCCTTCTAGATACTAGCTTTTGATCATAAACAAGCTTCTGTCCAAGTGTGGTAGAAATCCAGGATAGTTTAAGAAAGTTGTTAAAATTTTAAAAACTTTAACCACAGAGTGAATGTAATGTTAACTGGCAGAAAAACTAAGTCCATTTATAAGTAAAATACGGAAAAATGGAATTTTTTTTTTACAAAATTTACTTCTGGATACTATCTTATGATCATAAACAAGCTTCTTTCCAAGTTTGGTATAAATCCAGGATAGTTTAAGAAAGTTATTAAAATTTCAAAAACTTTAACCACAGAGTGAATGTAATGTTTCCTGGCAGAAAAACTTAAGTCCATTTATAAGTAAAATACAGAAAAATGGATTTTTTTTTTACAAAATTTACTTCTGGATACTATCTTATGATCATAAACAAGCTTCTTTCCAAGTTTGGTAGAAATCTAGGATAGTTTAAGAAAGTTATTGAAATTTTAAAAACTTTAACCACAGAGTGAATGTAATGTTAACTGGCAGAAAAACTAAGTCCACTTATAAGTAAAATACGGAAAAAATGGAATTTTTTTTTTACAAAATTTACTTTTGAATATAATCTTATGATCATAAACAAGCTTCTGTCCAAGTTTGGTAGAAATCCAGGATAGTTTAAGAAAGTTATTAAAATTTTAAAAACTTTAACCACAGAGTGAATATTTGTGGACGCCGCCGACGACGCCGACAGAATGTAGGATCGCTATGTCTCGCTTTTTCGACAAAAGTCGAAGGCTCGACAAAAAGGTTTCGTGAAATTCTGTTGTGTGGTTTGAGAGGAGTTGCGATGACAAGAAACAGGACTGACGGACTGACGGACGGACGGACGGACGGACGGACAGACGGACAGACGGACAGACAGACGGACGGGTCAAAAACATTATACCCTCCGCAACCCATTGCGTGGGGTATAATAAACAACCAATGGAAATGTAGTATTTTGTAACACATTGCAAGACTGGCCTACCAAATTAACACATTTTTGTCGAGCCTTCGACTTTTGTCGAAAAGCGAGACATAGCGATCCTACATTCCGTCGGCGTCCACAAATGTTCACTCTGTGGTTAAAGTTTTTGAAATTTTAATAACTTTCTTAAACTATCCTGGATTTCTACCAAACTTGGACAGAAGCTTGTTTATGATCATAAGATTATATTCAAAAGTAATTTTGTAAAAAAAAAATTCCATTTTTTCCGTATTTTACTTATAAATGGACTTAGTTTTTCTGCCAGGAAACATTACATTCACTCTGTGGTTTAAGTTTTTGAAATTTTAATAACTTTCTTAAACTATCCTGGATTTCTACTAAACTTGGAAAGAAGTTTGTTTATGATCATAAGATAGTATCAAGAAGTAAATTTTGTAAAAAAAAATTCCATTTTTTCTGTATTTTACTTATAAATGGACTTAGTTTTTCTGCCAGTTAA